ACATTTAAAATGTATAATTTTAATTTATAATTAAATAAGAAATCTAATAAAGCTTTATTTCAGATTTATATTGTAATGAATTGTGTTTTAACCTAGTTTAGAATTAAATTGAATGTCATGTGCCAATGTTTACCATACTTGATATTCTATATTGATAATCAAGCAAATCTTATTATGACTTCTAATAGTATTAGATAAGTTATTTTCCATGGTTTTAGTTTACCATTTACTAATGAGTCTTACACTCAAATTGCCCTTATACACGTCCCTGTCCATACCCATTAGGTGCAAACTTTGTACATACTGTATTTATATTTATAACATACAGTATCCTATCAAGCAATATGTCATAAAATAAGTACAAATGAATAGAGAAATTATGATTTTGTGTTTGTTAACGATTAATGGGTTATCAGATTTTCAGTCTAAGTTCATCGTAATAAAGTATGTTGTGTTACTAAATAGGTATAAGACCATTAAGTTTTATTTTATTATAATAAATAATTGTACTAATGAATACGGAATAACATTTGTATAATAAAATAAGTGCAACTAAATAAACATTTTAATTAAATAATAATTGCGAATTAAGTATTAATTTAAGAAAAGTGCAATTTTATATACTGATTCAATTGCCTATTAAAATAATTATTGATTTTATTTCAGTGATTAAAATTCAGTAAATTTTTACATTAAAACTGAATTACTATATATTTTTAATATATTAGTACCAGTACAGTAAACTAATAATAATGTATTAATCCACACTTAATATAGCCTTAAACTCAATTCAATGTGTTATACAAAACTATATGCAAATCAACCGTTATATCAGTGAAAACAATGTATCGTATAAATTATACGGTATAATCATTTGCTTACTAATTGCAATGCATTTAACGTATAGACCGCTATTATCATTGAACAATTATTTCAAAGTTTTTATTTTGTTGACACTATTTATCGAAGATCTTTGACATAAAAATTTTATTTCATAATAATTTGTTTCATAATGTCATCAAAAATAACGCATACAATGCGCGTCTTAATCGTAATCGTATTTTACGTAAAATACTTTATTATAAAAGTGCACTCATTGGAGGGTAAGTGCCATGAAAGTGAACTAGTTATTCAGTACACAATCATAAAGTTTTCGGTACTTCAAGTTTGTTTCAATAATAATTGTTTATTTTCATTGAGTTTTTCATCGCATTGATTGCGAGTCTATTGTGTCGGACAATGATGTCTGGTATAAGGGCTGCAAGTATTCAGTGCCCGTCGAGAGTCTCTATTCATCATCGGTTAGCTATTATGCAAACAATACGACTAATACTAAAACCATACATATATTTAAAGTATGAATTAATTATTTGATCATAATATTGTGTTATTTTAAAATTAATTTTAACATTTTAGTAAACATTTAATTCTAGCTAGATTAGAAAACAATTTATAAATTTATAAAATAATTAATATTATAATTTAGTTTTATTCATTGTATTATTTATAAGTTGGGTGATATTTATTAGCCCTAAAAATATAGTGAATTTTAATTTAATATTTAAAATTACTGTTATATACTAATACTTACTAATTAATGTACTTGATATACTAATAATAATCTATAACAACAGGGCATCCCTTACGCCAAACCCCCTATCGGTGATCTCAGGTTTCAAAGACCACAACCCATCGACTACTCGGTGCCTACACTAATAGACTGTACGGACTACGGGACGGCATGTATGCAACCCATACCCACATCGGGACACTCATCGGAGGACTGTCTCTACTTAAACATATGGACGCCTACAATGGACATTGGGGCTGGCCTACCGGTTATGGTGTACATACACGGCGGCGGGTTTACCATAGGGTCGGGCCATCCCTATCTGATCGACACATTTTCTATAAGCAATGTCTACGGCGGAGCTATACTAGCGCTCCGGGATGTGGTTGTCGTGAATTTCAACTACCGGTTAGGGGTCTGGGGGTTCCTATACGGCAATAGTAGCGACTGTCCCGGAAATATGGGTCTCTGGGACCAGAGTATGGCATTGAATTGGACCCGACATCACATACATGCCTTTGGTGGCGATCCCAATAGGATTACCCTGTTTGGTGAGAGCGCCGGTAGCATATCGATTAGCAAACACCTGGTCTCTAATGTTACCCGTAATTGGTTTCAGAGAGTTATCATGCAATCGGGTATGAATTGAATTGCTATTATGCTATGAATACTGATCCTTACAATTAAAACTATTCATACAAATATAAACAGGGTCTGCGTTTAATAAGATGTGGTCACAGGACACGGACTACTCCTACTCTATAGCCCGCAAATTTGCTACCGATCCCATACTATGGCCCGATAGCGGCACCTGTAATGACGAGCGCACATGGATTCAGTGTTTTCGTAACAAAACATCGACACAACTCCTATGGGCACAGACCCAGTCGGGACTACTATGGAAACCCCGGGACCCATGGATCACAGTAGGCCTGTCCACGTATTTTAAGCCTATATTCGGCGACCGATTCCTACCCATACCTGTGCC